AAAAAAATCACGGTTTTATTAACGCAGCGTTCCTACGGGAAAGTAACGGTAATCTAATTACCGTTTCTGCAATAGTAATCCCTTACTTTACTCGTTACTTAAAAAGTAATCAGATTACATGCCCATCTCTGGTGGCAACTACGACACTAGTTTGTGAAGTCCCTGTTTTGAGGCCTCAGTGTTCGATTGTTGGTGCTGCTGTGTTGACTTTTTAGACATGGAATAAAGAGCCTGGTGATTAACCGAGGCTCCAAACGTGGCGAGGACCGTTTTTTTTTTCCTTGTATGAGGCTATAAAAATGTGTTTCTGCCATATTTCTGTGTTGTAACCAGCAACCTGCTTCAGGAGCCTCCTGTGGTCACTCGAGGAACAGTTCACCGTGAACTTTTTGCCTTTTTCTGGCTTCACCTCATTTCTTGTTTTTTTGACGCTCTTTCTCTCGACTGCAAGTTAAACCACTTCGTACGTTACAGGCTGACAGGTTAGTCAACCACAACACACTGTTCAATGTCCCGCTATGTCAACTTAAAGTCACTGTGAACGCTGCTTGGCGTTAGCTTCCTTCCAGGTGACAATGAAAGTGACCTTCAGCCAGTGTTTCAGAAAACGCAGCTTTCTCCACAATTTTGAACCCTAATTTGAACTTTTTTCAATTTTCATGAATTGAAATTTGACTTGAATTGACTTGTAAATTTGATAATGAATTTTTCTTTGGTTTCCTGAACTCAGAACTAAAACCTCTTGACCCTGTACGCAGATTTTAATGTTAATGACATTAAAACTCATTAAAACATAACTCAAACACAACTTCTCCTAAACGTCTGATGCAGTATCCTGTTACAAACCGCACTCACTTGGCCTTTATGACCAATAATCATTGCTTGTTTTTTTAACCATGTCTATTTCACAGCTGTGGCAAACACCAACATGTGGTGCTGAGATAAAAGGAGGCTGTGGGAGGCCCGGTGCTAGCTAGTGTTTAGTTTCAGAAAGGAATGGATGATTCACATTGACTCAATGTCCAGCAAGTCCAAATCCTGTAACGACAGGAGACCACAGACTTCCTGGCTTCATTCCTTCTGTCAAATAAAACGTTTGCTAATCTTGTAATTATAACGCATAGTCAGCACTTATTTGCCTCTTTGCCGGTAATTCCTTCTGACACCAAACGATGCCATGTTTGACCGGCTATTATTGTGACCAGACTTCACACTGTGCGATCAGTTGTGTATCTCTGAAGTCATTCTCTGCACTGTAGCCTAACCCAGAGTACGAACACAACACTGAGAACATGTCTGCAGTGGATCTGCTCCTGCTGTGTGCATCTGTAGTCCACCTCAACACATCTACAGTCTGAAGGAGGCTGTAAAACTCTGAAAACGCTCAGTTTTTCATTTCTCAAAAATGTTTTAGTACGACTTTGCTAAGCTACGAAGCCGCAGCGCCTGATGGATTGTCGGAGCATTACGGCTACCGTAGTCAGGAGCCTCGCGGAGTCATCTGGGTCCTAAACTCCGTCTGGTTCAGGTCCCAAAGTCAAACGAACACTGCGGCATCACTGAGAGTTAAAAACTGTCTAAATTCTTTCATCTTTAATAAAATGATCAGCGTTGCTGCTTTACCAGGTGTATTAAGTTTAACATCCAGGCATCCATGAAAACAGAATTTATTAAATTTAACAGAGTTAGAAGTTAGCAGGAAGTTAGCTCGCTAGCTTCCACCTAAACATGATATAGCATGTTCTGACTGAGAGATTTCTGAAAAATCCAAACGTACAGCTCTGCTATCACTTCAAACATAAATGAAGACAGAAAACTAAACAGCAGTGACGTTTGTAGGGTTACTGAAGTTGGGCTAGCTGCTATATAATGATGTGCTATGGCTAGCGACGCAGCTATGTTAGCATAGCATAAACACAGTGAAGCTGGAGGATGAACGCTAACGCTTGTTTCGCTTAATGTGCTTTCTAATCTGGTGCGCCTTATGGGCCGAAAAATACAGTATTTTTTAATTTTATAAGAACACAAATAGTTATTGGAAGATATAACTAAACACAAATCAGTGTATATTTAAAAGTACAATATCCTATTACTGTACCTTTAAGGTGAAACCGCTCCTAATTATAAAAACCGCTGTGAAGAGTCGATGCTGTATTTGTGACTCAGGTCAAGTAAAGTCGTTTAAAACCAAAAAACTACAAAAAATCAGCGCTGGCACCATCACTCCCTCCTGACAAAATAAAACTACAGGATTTTTGCTGCATCTGAAGAACCACACTGCCTGTGTCCTTAACAGCTCCTGGGCTGAATGTTCAATATATTTCGCAAATCAGCTGTTCTTCCTGCTGTCTTAGACGTGCAGCTGCTGTAAAGACTTTCTTACCTTGATCATACGAGAGAGGTCTCCAGCATCTGCTAGCTCCAGTACTATGTTCAGCTCATTGTCCTCAATAAAAGACGCGTGGTATTTTATCACATTGGGATGGTTCAATTGCTGACAGGGGGAAAAGAAAAAGACAGACGTGTCATTCAGGAAGCATAAAAAGCAAAAATAAGACTTGCTGGTGACACTTGTCACATTAAGAACCGACATGGTCACATTCCTCAGGCGTCTTGCAAACTTATTACACCATTTATATAAAATGAGCCTGACCGTAACAAACACAGGTTTGTGTCATGAACTTTGACCACCAATTAAAACAAGACTGTTTAAACCGTACATGGGATTCATACATGTGGACCTAATGAGAAGCTTTAGTCCCCAAGTGTGACAAAGCTGGCTGACATGTCACAACAGCCCCCTGTCTCTGATGACAACAACTCATGTGTGAGACACACACACACACACACACACACACACACACACACACACACACACACACACACACACACACACACACGCCTGACAGGCTGACACGGCTGGCAGTCAGAAAAACAAGCATCCCAGCCTCTGCTGCAGCTGAGATTCCTTCCTGTTGGTTGGTCAATAAGGCAGGAACAGCATTCCTTGTAGTAAACAAAAAGTTTCAATCCATCCAGAGCAAGAAGAGGGAAAGGGGGGAGGGGGGAGGAGCAGTGAAGAGGAACGAGCAAATGACACAGTGACACAGACAAGCAAGGCGGATGATGGAGACAGGGCAAGGTGAAGAGCTAGGGAACGAGAACAAAGGTGAGGAAGGAAGAAAGAACAGGAGAGCGGTACGGTGAGCCGAGTTGGAGCAGAGGGGGAGGGAAAGGGAAGCGGCGGTGCTGTGCGAAGAGTCGCGGCGGTGATGCGAGCAGACGGAGTGGTGTGACACGCGTCCTCCGCTCTGCTTTCTGTGCTGTGATTAAAGAAATGTTCATGCTCTGGATGATGCTGAGAGGAGCACAGTACAGTACAGTACGCTATACTCTCCACTCCATCTCTGCATCCTTCCACATTCCCCTCTCTCATTTGTTCTCCCGTTCCCTTCCTCATGTCTCCATCTTTCCTTCTCCCTCCCTCGTCCTCTCTCGCCAGATGTATTTTTGGCTCGGAGTGGCAGTTCTGCACGGCTCCACGCTGTAGCACAGCCGAGGAGCGATGACAAGTTCTCCCTCCCCTCCTCGCCCCGCTCATCTCCCACAACTTCAACCCCAGGCGAAGGATACAGATATGTTCGCATGCAGATGTTTATGTAAATGATGGATGGGACCTTACTGCAATACAACAGCCATTCGTTGGGAAATATCGCATAGAGTCTCGCATGATTATGTAATTACACATGCTGGCTGAGACCCACCGGTGTGTGTAATTACTTAATCATGCACGACTCGATGTGAGATATTTGTTGAGCTGGTGATGTGCTCCAAAGAAGAACGAGACACTGACTAATGTAACGTGATGGCACAAAATTAAGCATGCTAGCAAATTAAGTAACAGCGTAATTATAAATGAAATTAGATGCCAACAGGAAAGCAGCTGGTAGGAATGGAAACGGTTCGTTTAGATGTGAATCGGCGTTTACTCGGCCTCTCCGGCAGAAAGGAATCGTTTGCGTTCCACTAACGTGTTTTCCACTTCACCGAATGTAAAAATCATCCACTTTAGCTTGTTAGACGAAGGATGGATTAAACGCACATAATGAAACACATTTAAAGTACATATTAATGTTTAAAGAATATATTATTGCTCGTACAGAGAACAAGATAAAACTGATTTTAAAGCTGTAGCTCGTTTTATTAACAAAACATGGACCCGGGCATATTGTTCAAATATGGCACCGTATAGCACAAGAGCTTCCGCTGCCTTTGCCTTATTGGATCACGACATGGTAGAGAATTAAACGTGAGGTTTGATAACATGTTCTCCACTGAACTGTCCACCAACAGTACAATCTGATAGATATCAAACAAAACACAGGAAAAAACCTGACGTCATAACAGCCTTTCACTGCTCATTAGGGAAGATAATTAATCAGAATACGACCCAAGACAGTAACCGTAAGTAAGAGGAATACGCCGTTCTTAGATTTCAAGAATGGTGAAATCATCAGAGCGGCAGAGCGCTGGCTCTTCCTACAACCAACATTCCCATCAGGAAAAATTTAGACAAAAGGACAGAAGGAGAAGTGAGATTCTCGAGTTGAAGTCATCATGCCACAGCAAGAAATAACAGATGAATGAGCAGACACAAACACAGACAGACAAACAAACAAACAGACATACTGTTGAAAGGTCTCAACAGAGTGTGTGTGTGTGTGTGTGTGTGTGTGTGTGTGTGTGTGTGTGTGTGTGTGTGTGTGTGTGTGTGTGTGTGTGTTCATGGGCGACTGTGCGTCACTCCAGTCGAACCATGCCAGTGTGCCTCTCATTATTCTGATTTGGCTCTGTCTCCTGTTGGCCTGTCTAGTGGAGGATAAGGGAGAAGGACTCTCTCTCTCACTCAGTCCTTTATTATCAGGCTGGCTGGGCAGCCGGGGCCAGGCACAGCTCCATGTTTACCAAGAATCAGCTCGTAGGATAAAAAGAAGGAAAGAAAATGGATGAATGAAACAAGGCAGTGAAGGAGAAAATGGAAAATCAAAAAAAGCAAAAGCAGCCGAGACAGGAGAAATAAATTCTATAGATTCAAAGACGATTAAAGGGAAGAAATGCAGAAATGTAGGCGTTGCATACAGGAAATGAGAGACACGGTCACTGGGGTCAGTGTAACGTTTGACTCTGTCCTAACCCCCTTTAGGAGGTCAGAACTACAAACAGGAAAACCCTGCTGTCTTCTGCCATCGACTCAACAGTCTGCTACTCAGATTACAGCCTGGTCTCGCCTGCATCAGAGTATCGTTGTCTTTGATTGGCCCAAAAAGCCCCGGGAGCTCCAATGAAGTCTGAGTGGCACAAACTAATTGGTTGTGTTTTGTGTTTCTGTCTAATGTGTACGTCTGAGCGTACATATGAGCCCAAACTGCCTGCAGTGCACACGCGTCCGTGAAGGAAAGCTACAGATAGGGCTGCCAGAACTGCACACACACACACACACAGTCAGATAACACAGGCAGGGCTCTGACACACATCTAGGATCTCTCAGACAGGAAAGACATCGGAGCTGTCGTTAGTTTGTTCATTAGTGCTTAAGAGCAGCCTGGCTGACACATGTTAAAGGTGGTTTAATAAGCACAAAAACTTCATTGCACAAAGAAAAAACAGTAAAGCTAAATTAAGCAAAGTGAGGAGACACATGAGAGACGCTGCTACATCTCCATGCTGATGCACTGTTGGCTGGTTTTAAACATTACAAAAAGATTGTTAAAAAACAACAACACAAAAAAACACAATAGTTTTGGCATTAAAAAGGAGCCGATGTGTGCCTGGGGGGATTTAACACTGCTGTACCTCTGCACACACACACACACACACACACACTCAAGGAGAAAGCAATACACACACACTTATTCACATTCTCACTCGTGTGCACAAATGCTCCAACACCCCACTGTATTTGTAACAATCCGAGGAAACGCACGCACACACAGCACGCAGATCCACGCCGTCTGGTGCAGATCAATTGTTTTCATGTGGTAGAAGGTCTCAGCTGAGGCACCTTAAGAGAACAGAGCGCAGCGCATGGCGCCGTCTCCCTCTTCTCTGGTTCTTTACCTTAAGGAGATCTATCTCTTTGATGCAATCTTGCCGAGCTTTGGCATCCATCAAGTTGAATATCTATCAAGAGATCAAAAGGGGAGAGAGAGAGAGGGTGAGAGAGGACAGAGAGGTGGTGTTATGACATATTCAAAAAAATGTAAGATGGAGAGATGTAGAAAACTAAGGGTGGAAAAAAAACACTAAACAGAGAACACGGTTACTGTTATCTAGAGGGTGGCGCTGGAGTGTCTACAGGTGTTTCATATCTGAGTAACAAGCCCGTATATCTGAGGGGTGTGTGTGTGTGTACATAACGTGTCCTCTTATCAATGTGTGCGAGTGTAGAAGGCAGTGAATACCACAGATACTGCCAGTGCAGATACACACAAGTGCAGAGTCACACTGTGAGTCAAACTGCACTTCACAGGCAAATACCTCACAAATGTGACTTTGTTGAATATGCTGACCGCTCTGGCGGCACTAACACATTCACAATTACATTCTCTTAAATTTCTCTACATAGTGACAAGTCGAACTCAGCGAGTGTGACCCAGCTGTGTTTGTCCAGAAACAGCAGCAGTATTTATATGTGAGCTTCTACTACTGTAAATGCTCCGTGTATGGCTGAGGTGAACTTCAAGGACCGAAACACCCGCTGGTGTGAATATATTAGCATTGACCTCGTGACAGATTTAACTCGGGCTAAATGTGTCGCTGCTTTTACGCTCCTCACCTGAATTTTCTTCAGGGCCATAGACGTGTTGTCCAGCAGATACCTCGCTCGGTACACCTCGCTGAACTGGCCGCGTCCAATCTTCTTCTCAATCTGGAAGTTAGCCAGTGAATTATGGCCCATATCTGGCTGCAATGGTTTCTGGAGGAAACAGGAAAAATACAACTAGTAACTATTCACGCATGATATCAGTCCATGAACACGTGCACACACACTCTCTCTTTCTCTGTGTAAGAGAAAAACAAATAAAAAAACAAAGTATTTGCAGGATTTTTGCTGTTGCCACTAGTTTGTCACTGAGGTGAAACCATCTGTGCATTACTGAAAGATAAAAAAGACGAGGGCTGGAGGATGTGGGTTAGACGCTGCCAAAGATGCTCATAAAGGTCTTCAAGGACGATTGTAGCTGCTAAACTGGTGGACCTAAATCTTCACCACCACGTCTGTATACATACAAGCAGAAAGGGGAGTGAGTGGGTCAGCGCTCAGAGCACAGAAACTTAGCTGGCTTCAAACACACCATTTATTTTCAGGATAAAACACAGTCAGAACCCCAAATACAAGCTAAAATCCCCGTATACAATAAAAATAGTGTTTGCAACCCGCTAAAAACCCTGCCGGCAGGAATGATTATATTTCCACTGTGTGACACGATCATTCAACTTTTTGAAGGTAGCAAAACGGTATCATGTCGTGCATGTCAAATGTAATGCTTTATTACTACAGTAACATGATATTGTATTAGACCGTGCACTTACACCTTGCAACATCCAGGGAGGCTAACACGCTGTTCTGTAGCAAAAACAGAGCAGAGCAAAGGTGAGTTGACTATTTTCCAATGAGGACGGGAAAATAGTCACGTAAATATAGGCTTCATATTATTTAATCCAAGTGTTTTTTCTGTTTGTGTGTTTGATCAAACAGCACCCGTGAAATCCTCTCCTTCATCTGTCGAGTCCCATCACTGACAGTCTGGCACTGGGCCACAGAACAAAGTACTCCACACCTCTCCTCACTGCGTGAGTGATTGTACCTACTGAGTCACTCACCTCCGCAATTAAAAACACTCAAAAATAAACCAGAATGAGCCCCTTGGATATAATGTGTGAATAATACACATAGCGTGCTGTGTGACCTTTCCAGCCTTTTGGTAAACTTGTAAAAGGCGTCAGCAGGAACAAACACAAGGTGACAGATATCAGAATGCTGCATGTCACCAGCGCTGCTGTGGGAGCAGCTCAGGGGGCGAGTGACCTAGGACCGAGGGGAGGGAAATAAAAAGGTGGAGAGGGTCAAAAATGAATCTGCTGGGTGCTAAAACACACAGGAAGGGTGTGTCATTACAGCTGTTCGCTCTACACAAAGTTACAGTGGGCACCCACTGAAAAACATACACGATGCAGCTGACCTGAGAGAGGCACGAGGTATCGTTAAAGTAAAAAACACTTAAAGCCAACGAATATATCAGAAAGAAATGACCTGAAATAATTTATTCAAAGGCCAAAAATCATTTCTGCAAAAAAACAAGTAAAATAAGAATAAAAAGGCATGAAATTCAGACAATGATGAGAAGCACAATATCAAACTGGATTGTTAACACTAGAATGGATGATTTATTTTGGGGGGGGCACAGATTCATGCGTTTCAATGTTTTTCCGCAGCTGACAGCCAAAGGAAGAGGCGCGAGCCAATCAAATGCCCTGCCCAATTAACACCGCTGAGGTGTGTGCATTTTTCAGCATGACACCGCCGTCATCCCGAGCTGTCAGGACTCACAGATGATGCACTCTTCCACAATCCACAACAAACCCTTCAACACAACCGTACGTCTAAAGGAGGGACTACGAGGAATCACTACGACAACACGGAAAACACTGACAGATGACTGAAAGATCTATATCCATACATTTTATGGAGAGTTAGTTAAATTAAACCTATACATACTCATTATTATCTCCAAGGTGTGTTGCGCTGAATATGCAACCATATTGGGAGATGATTTCGCATAATGTGACAGAAGCACTGATGCAAAGTTGCAGTGGGATGGACAGAGAGGGAGAGAGAGCAATAAGGGGAGGGAGAGAGAGCAAAGGATGGAGCTGGGAGGACAAGAGGGCATTGCTTTCATTCGCTGCGTGGTAGCTTGACAAATGTTAGCATGAGCCTCTAAAGCGCTGTGACAACCGCCTGCTGAGAGCACAGTCTTGCTAATGTGTCCTGGCATGCCAGCCTCGTAATCACACATTTACATATGCAATGACCTACATTTGCATGTCAGATCGCACACTGTCCAGCGTGATTAACAGTGGGCACCTCCCCGTGTGGAGTCGCCCTGGGTGGCAGCAGAGGCCATGCGAGGGCGGAAGAGAGGGCTGGAGGGAGGGCGGCTTTTCTGGCAGCCAAGGGGCCGGGCTGCCAGGCAGGATTATGTCAGCCAGTGCCCCCGACATTAGACACTTCATTAGAGCTAATCTGTTTAGCAGTGGGCAGTGTATGTAAACTTCACAGGCCATTTGCGGCACCTCTTCGCCCCCTGGCCTGGCCTTCAAAGGGCAGCCAGGCCACAGCTGACTGACAGGCCGTCTCATCTGCCGCACATGGGTGTCACACAATCAGGAGCTCCCAGCTGAAAGACAAGGCCACACACACACCTACAAAGGAAGTCACAGAGGAACGTCCCTGAGTGACGCAGAGGTCACGGTCTGGCCAAAAACGGGAGAGGAGGATTTTGGACGGATCTAAATCTGACTGTTCATGTGACGGACAAATATCATGACCTCAAACACAAACGTGGTTGTTAATCAGGGCTCGCATTTATATTTATGCGTTTGTGTGCAACATCTGCCAGAGAATGCCGAGACCGGTCGACTGAACCGAGCCCCGACCGCGCCTGAGCACGGTCCATTTTTGTTTTTCTAATGCAAATGATGCAACTGCTAAGCTAATATAAGTACCACATTAAAAAAAAAAACCTGTCCCCATTATTCTTTTTACACATATTAGTTCACGTTGAAAAGAAATCATTTTAAAAAGCAGTAACGATCAGGTTACGTGTTTATGAAATTTCACCCGTTTACCTGAAACGTCGAGGCGGGTTTACACTGGAAGTGGGAAATGAATTTATCTCCATCCCTCTCTTACTGTTAACACTCAATCTAAAAAACTGACCAATATTATGTCAATGAAACATTGGTATGTGACCGGAGCTGCAATAATACTGTAAAGTTGTACAAATAAAAACCTCACTACACAACGTGGCAGCAACGGCTCAGGCCCAGGCATGTCTGAGAGCAAAAGCCTCCGGTGACAATTTAGTGCTTAGAAAGAAAACTCCTTCAACTGCCTCCTGAAAAGCAGAGCACTTTGCAAAACATGCAAGAAAATTGTTCTTGCTCAACATGGAAACGACAAACTTGTTTAGCCGCTTTGGGCCAACACACCATCGAGTAAACTAAAGAAATGATAAAGTGTTGAAAAGTTACATTTCTATGTCAAATTTCCAGGTAAAACTACTTTTGTTTACACTTGACTTATTGTGTCGCTGGATATAATGCTGTCTTAGGACTACTGTACTGTAATTTCCATGCTGGCACTCTTTGAATTAGGAAGTGTGTCATGGATTTACATGCACTTATAAATGCTGCTGCTTGCAAGCTGCAAGCATTAATAAAATTTTCAGCATTTTCCTTCCATGTGGTCAAAAATACGATTATTACAATTTAATGTTGAACCCATATGACCCACCTCTGACAGTCGACCAGAAAATGTGTTGATGGTAATGCAACCACTTTATCCTGCTGTTGTTTATACACACACGGTACATCCTGAATTTAAATGTTTGTATCGCAATCACAATCCAAATTGTGCTTTTCCAGCTTGGACCCACATGAAGAGCAAAAAAGAAATAAAACACTGAAATATCATTATCCCAAAATGTTTTTGCATGTGGAGGCCGTGTCGTCTTACCCATACCCAGAACTATATCAATAATAGTTCACGTATCAATAATCCAACACATGCCATCTCATTCAAAATATATACTTACAGGTTTCTCTCCTATATATGTTTTGTATCATGAAGTGTAGCAGTCACACTGACAGCCTGGCTATCTGTTGAAGTTGTGATTCAGTAGCTTCCGCTCTTATTTATAAAAATTCTGATGAAATAAATTAAAAATGGCTGTGATGCAACTGCCTCTTTCCATCTGCAGTCACCGCTCTCGATCAATGTCTGACCCACACACTCTGTGAAAGGTTGCAGGTCACGAGTCTGCAGTGAAAGTAAAGGTGGGAATCCTTTTTTCGACAGTTATGTTGAAGAGAAGACCAAATAGCTGGGCGTCGTGGAAGACGATGCATTTGGCTCTACGGCTTGTGGTCGCCTCCTCAACCACTGAGGTAAAGCAGCACCCATTACTGCAATTTTAAACACTTTGCAATATGTTTAATATTAACAAATAGATACAATGTTATCTTTTTGTCCCCAACATCTTTTTAAATTAATAAAACTTCTAAGTCTGTTACTGTTTTATTTTTATTGGTGCAAAATGGGCTCATATGAGTAACACAGTTTGTTTTGGGTAGTCTGTGTCGGGGTTGTGGTGACGGACGACAATGTCAGGGATGGCAACAGCTGGGCGATCACGGCAATTTTGATCCCATTTCCCCAGTGATGCACTGAAAAAATTGTGTCATTATGCTGAGATTCATTATTAATTAAATGTGCAAAGCCATAGCTTGATGTTTTACTCCACATACAACAAACACCTGTAACAGCGACACATGTGGACACACACGGGCGCGCACAGAGGCTCGCGGCTGGACTACATTTGTGCGTCACGCGGCTACACCGATCGCTCACAGTCATCATCAGATGAGAGGAAACAGAAAGAGGATATTTCTCACTTTAGGATGGATGTTAAAAATAAAAACAGAGCATAATGTCACCACATTTGGGAAAAGGCTCTTTTATCACGTCTCCCACCCGGTGCTTCAGTCGATGACGAGCGAAGGGGAAGGTGTGCACAGGAGAGACGGGTGAGGTGCTTTACAAAGAAGAAAATTAACTCGTCAAAATAGAACAACTTCAGATCCAAGTACAAACTTAAAGGACTGGTAAATGTTTTTACATTTTTACTTAGTGCTACTGCACATCATCATCATCATCTGGGTCCACAGTGACTACAATGTAACCACAGACAGCAGTGTAATCATAAATAGGCTATTTTTGCAATTAGTTCATAATATTACTGCAGCAGGTATCAATAAAAAAGCAGCCTGACTTTGAATGTCTCGCTATTGTTGTTATTTAAATAACTGAAACTAAGTTTTGAGCTCTTCTAAATTTTGGCCCAAAGATTTTTAACTGTAAATGTTTCCAAATATTGATTTTAGTGTCCCCAATTACTGATAATCAGCAACATCAGTGTTGTTGTCTAAAAAATAAAATAAAATAAAACATACTGGTCAACTCTCACAGCACGCTCACATCATTCACATTATTCCAGCTTGAGGACAAGCTGCAGGACATGAAGATAAAGTGGCAGCTGCGCAAAGCATTATGGGTAACGCCGGTGAGGGACAGAATGTCTCGGGTATAAAGGTGACACACAGCCACCACGAGCTAGCAGGGGGACTGCAAAGGAGAGAGGAAAGTAGAGCGAGAGACAGACGGGGAGCAGACAGACAGCTCATTGGAGGAGGTGTGATATGGGCTGCCCGATAATGACACCGTTGCCAAACACAACTGACAAGACACATGGAGAGTGGAAGAGGGAACGGGAAGACGGGATAAAGATAGGGTGGGGGGCAGTGGGGGACAAGCAGCAGAGAAGAGAGGGCCGACGTGACAGCCCAGCAGTGCCGACGGCTGCCACAGAAAGGCCAGCGGCAGCAGAGAGGTGATGTCTCACATGGAGAGAGACTGAGAGGCACGCAGACGCCGGGAAAGAGAAACTCGGGGCACAGACGTACGAGGAAGGCTAAAGTTGAAAGCTCGTCACTCTGCTCTGGCATGCTATCCTGCAGTGAACAGCTTTTTAGACAGCAGAGGTTTTCAAAAATAGACTCCAGAGTTAATAATCAGTGGGTGCACGTCTCTTTGTTGTGGATGTGGAGACTTAACAGTAACACCAGAAAAATCAAAGGCAAAAAAGGAAGAAAAAGACAATGACCTGCGACACGGACACCAGTGAAAAAGTAGAAGACCAGTTCACAATTATAAAACCAAAACTCTTCATCTTGTTAACATAATATAAAAATAAAAAGTGCATATATTAAAATAACTAAGTTATCAGCTAAGCTCTCCAGATGTTTAATCCAAGACTCCATGAATACACTTTCTTTCTCACCACTGTCCAGATGTTGGCTGTGATGCAGAGCTTTGTCATCAGTAATGTCAGTTTAATCTCAAAACAGGATAAACAGGAAGAAATACCGTCTCGAGAGATCTCGACCAAAATACTATCAGACTGTGCTGAGGACAACGTCATTTTCACACGAAAACAGTGTTTACAAAATATGTGGAATTAGCTCGGCTGTAGTCCAAAACAGACAGAGACGGATATACGATAAGACAGCCAGGAACACAAGAAGAGACAGACACGGCAACTAGCAGCCCTGCGGTGAGGGGGGGGGAGCGACTCCCACTCTCACCAGTCACCAGCCCCCTTGAGAAGGCACCATGCAATATTCATCCTCAGCCAGTCAGCCAGCGAGCCAGGCAGGCAGTCAAACCGGCAGGATTCACCCCAAAGGTGCTTCTTCTTCTCCTTCCACACCACCTTGTCTCAGCGCTTACAGACAGATCTGTGTCTGTCAAACTCTGCAGTGACGATCAAACTCCGGGGGGATGGTGGTGGAGGGTGGAGGGGTCCCCACTAACCCTCCCACTCACTCAAGAGCAAATGCACCATTAAAAATGCACATCTTACCAGCTCATCTCGTTTAACTAATGCATATGCATCATACCTCCGGGACCAAGAGAAATTATATTGCAAGTGATACAGAATATCCTTCATCACATATACAATTCAGATTTCTCCAGGAAGAGGCTGGTAGGGTTTTTTTCTCCCTTTGCTGCAGAGTAGACTGAACCTTAGGAAAACTGTGAAACGGATACAGGACTTGTTGAAAGACACCCATCTGGATGCTGGTTAGACAGTCATCTGCATAATCTGACTCCATCTTCCGCTGAATGTGGAATCGGTTCAAACATGTTCTGTGAGACTGAAAAAATGATGCAATATGGAAAGTTCACCGTGCTCCCGAGTACCTAAGCGAAAGAGGTGAGCCTAGAATTAACACTGATGTAAACTGCTGGAAATAGATGGAACAACACAGAGCGAGAGAGAAAGAGATCATTAAGACTGAACAACAACACGTAACGAACTGCTGGGAGATCAGCTGGAGATCTACTGTATGTGTGCGTGTGCGTGGGGGGACGGTTGCCTAAGTCAAATTAATTATTAGCGCTTTTATCTGACTTTCTTCTGTGTGCAACCCAATTATCCTTAATTTTGCAATTACAAATCTCAGAATAATCAAGCCCCTTGGCAGTTCCAGTGTTAATGTTGCCGTGCCCTTGCATACGCATTGAAAAAATAAATAGATAAAAAAATGAAACAAAAACAACAACGAGTACGGAGCCTATTTTTAGTGCTCCTTTCTCAAAAAGATTCCACGTTTACTCAGGGGCATATGGATGATCTTCTTTGTTTAAAGTCTATTCAATACTTATGGAGGCAAAAACATCCTTCTGTAGAGAAATCAATGCGCCTGAAGTTGGAAGACGATATTAAAATCCAACAGCGGCCTGATCTGCACAGAGCAAACTTGAGTTGTATCGAACCGAAAGAGGCTTGCAAGGAGGCCGGGCTCCGGCAGCCTCCAGATCTCTGATCAATGGCAACAACTCAACATTCATCCACTGTCTGTCTTACACAGGCTACAGAGGTCTGAATGAAGATCAGGCTGAAAGATACATCTTGATTGATGCAGAGAGAAGAGATGAGCATGAAATATTTACAGTTTAAAACAGGAATTAGGAGGAATACAACAGATGAAGGAATTTCCCATCATTCTTCAATCTATAATCAAACTAAACGGCATTGAACACATCTGTTAAATAAAGGCTAAGACAGGTGCTGACCACAGGATGCCGAGGCTGAGTAATTCCATTTTTATCTTAGTCTGCATCCTACTTCAGATCCTAAGTCCTTCTGACTGGTGTTGCAGTGTGCATCTGTGTGGGGTTACCTGGGGTTGAAACTCTGGCACAGCTGCTTGCTGTCCTTGTGGCTGCATGTCCATATCCATGGTGTTAGGAGCTTGATCCCGTACACCTCTGCGAATCACACAAACAAAACAGGACTCACGGTTAGACAATGCAACGCTGATCATCAGGTAAAACAAAAGTAGATCATTTCCCTTCAACAGTACGATTAAATTGTATTCAAATGTGGAGCAATGTTCGTTCTGCAGCATCAAACTAAGGAGTGACGGTTGCCCCGGTGTTGAGTTTCAGCAGCTGAAACCTAGGTCACGTCTTTGGATATGATACTCTTTGTCTGGGTCCCTCTCGAGTTGCGCCGTGGCCGAGCTTCGGCAGAGATAAAGCTGCTTGGCATTCTCCCAAGGAACCTTTCCTGGGAATTGCAGGTTACACCAGTTACTGGTTTAAGCAATTCCACTTTATTTTTTCTTTTCCGAGAAAATATAAGTCACCTCAGGGTGAGGAGGTGCAGTATGTATATATGCCATGTTTTTCTTTAATTGCACGTCCTGGCATGTGGCTTAGAAGGAAGCTACTTGCCTGAGCAGCACAACAAGTTGCTTGCCTCATCGTCACAGACAATGCAATAATAGAAAAAAATCACCTGAATGAATAATTTACAGCTTTAAAAATTACGATGCACAATTATATTCACACTTGAAATTAGCTTATGATTCCAGTCTACACTCACCGTTTCAAAATTAACACAGAATTACTTGTGATTTACACGAGATACCCGCCTGTTTAACACAAACCGTGTGCCATCCACGAGGCAACACATGAGGTGAGATATTTGTATGTTTTCAGCATCACAAAAACGTAGCCAAGGACAAGCGTGCACACACACGTGCACACACACGTGCACACATGCCGACTGCTCGTTGATAGGAAGAAAATGACTAATGATTGGGAACCGAGGATAAAAGAAATACCAGGAATTACAACTCAACCATGGTTTTGTCTTCTTAGGGACTTATTCACAGGAATAGCACTCAAGCAGACACGCACACACACACACACACACACACACACACACACACACACACACACACACACATTAAATCAGCTGTCACAGCCTGCAGGGAAAGAAAGCACACTTCACAGTGGGCCATTTGCATGTTTTTCCTCCAAAGCCGGTTTGCAGATCTGTTGGTGTGTCACTCGTGTATTGGTCACAGTCTCTTGTCTCTGTTGCATTGAGCCTCCCTGGGCCAATTAAAATGTGCCGGTGTAATGTAGATGAGAATAACACTGAAAAGCAGTCTCTGTGTGTATATCAATCAATCATCTGATCAATAGAGCAATTATATAGCTATCTAACCATATAACTGATTAATAGGTTGACACACAGATTCTTTGGGCAGTTTAATATTTTTATGATGTGTGTCTATGCACTAGAGCTGGGCGATATGAGATTTTTTCATATCACGAAGATGGCACGATACCACTTTTTTATGTCCGATACCGATACCGATATCATAAATTTGGATATCTGCCGATACCGATATGAATCCGATATAGTGTTTTTTAATCAACAAAACTGTTTTTTAAAATATCTTGCTGCATTTTGCAAGTCTGCAAGTTCATACTCAAGTTTAAAACAACAACTACACTAAAGCTATTCTGTTATACCTGTATACAAAAAAAATATTTCATAGTTCAGCAATACTGATCAATCTAATAAACTTAGACCTACACCATCCTCCCTATTCTGGTATTTTAAAGAGTACTTAGCGTAAATATTAAGCAACCTAACTAATAGGGTTCCAACTCCCAGCAACAACAAAAATAAATAAATAAAAAATAGGGAACCACCCCTCACGCTCCACCTCATGATGCTTAATCGACGTAATCAACCTTAATTTGATGCAGTGTGAAAAAAAATGCACAGAAATCAATTATTTTTCAAGAAATATTAAATAGATTCAACATCTTTCTTCAACAAAATTGCAGACTGCACAGATGGTACCTTCCCAAAGGAAAAAGTACTATAGCTTACTAGGGTATATTAGACTTAATAGTTACTATATACAGTAATTGACTTCTATTCATTTTACATCAAATTAAAACTTTGGGTGTCAGATAATTATTTATTAAAAGCTAGACATTTTAAATGAGAATAAGAAAGAAAAGTATGTCTTTGTGCCCCCTTTTCCCTGTTAATGCCCTATCGGCCCCCCTGGCTAAACTTTGCTAGATCCGCCCCTGCACAGTTACCAGCCGTCAGCTACGTAGAAAAAGATCCTGGTGTAGAAAGTAATATTAAATAAATTCTAACAACAGCTTATCAAGCTTAAACGTGCTGCTGTTGTTCAGCCGCTGGTTTGCTCTTTCTGGTGCGAAGTGGGCCAAAAACAAAGACGGACTCGCGACAGAAAAGCTGATCAGCTGATCATTTAAGCAGTTTCACGATTGAAGTACCAGCCGGAGAGCGAGAGGCAGTCGCTCGTTAAGCTTAGCGTGGGAATGCTTTACAAACATTCAGAGATGGACTTACACGCTTGCTTTACTTCTCTCGGGGATAACTTTGTCGGAGATGAAATGCTAGCGGAGATGAAATGCCAGGTTGCTAGCGAAGCTCCACATGCTATCCAGACCACCGACAGGTCCCGCATGCCACAGCTGCTCTATCACGTGATGCACACTGCTCCAACTGCTAACGTTCTGAGGTGAGTTACGGCGTGTTGCAAGTTTTGTGAGGTGCTTTCGTGATATTTAATGGATCGGATTACATTTTTTATTTTTCTCCGATATCCGATCCAGTCATTTAGGTCAGTATCGGACCGATACCGATACGTAATATCGGATCGGTCCATCTCTATATCACGATATGTTTTTTTCATTTCAGGCGATAACGATATCTATCACGATATAAGCCAAATAACTATATTTGTAAGATTTAAATGTGCCGTTGCTCACAAGTAAAATGTGAAATAATCAGCAGCTTGTTTTTATTTAAATATTTATTTCCCATAATAAGTTCAACAGGGTAGATGTACTTAAGGAACATGAGACTTTTTCAGATAAATAAAGGCAAATATTGCAAACTACACAAAAGGCAGCCGCTAAAGCGTTTAAGTTTCAAAATAGAACAAACGAAACAGACTAAATTGTCAATTCCACTTAGAAACAAAATATTAATTCTAAAAATAAATCTTAGTTTGTTTTACAGAAGAACAGACAAAACTGACTAACTTTTGTCAATATCAAATAAACTGAGAACTAAAAGGAAATTCTCAATCTCTCCTTGTTGTATAGCTTAGCTTTTCAAACAGTTTTAACAGTTACTTTAGTCTGACAAAAGCCGAATGACGAATTAGCGCTTCCAGTCAGAGACTGAGGCTACGTCCACACGTACACGGGTATTTTTGAAAACGGAGATTTTCCGTTTTCGTTTTAAAAAATAATCCCGTCCACACATAAAGGCAGAAATGAGGAAACTGCTATGATGAAAAGCCGAATCCTCCTGACCTATGGCTCTTCCGTTCGACAATCTCTCCGGCGTTGGAACCATCATCTGTTTTCTCTTCGGTCACGCTCGGTTGATTTTTCTAGTCGGCACACTCATTTCCTCCATTACCCGCTGGCTGCTTCCCAAACAAACACACGTGCGGCTTGGCACTTGTGCTGTACGTAACAAGCTCACGCGACGTGACGCTGCGGCTGTGATTGGTTCGGCTCTGCGCTACTTAATTTGGATTGGCTGACCTTTTTTTTTTTTTTTTTAGGACAAGAGCGGCGAGGTCTATCGCGATAGCTTAATTTCTCTATCGAGTAAAAGTTATATCGCGATACATATCGTTATCGTTCTATCGCCCAGCTCTACTATGCACTTTGAGCAAACACATCATTTGCAATTATTGCTGTGCTAAAATCACAGATTAGCTTTTTCTTGATGTTCGTGTAAGTTTGGAAGATCGCAAAATTATTTACTCAACCCCGTTTCCAATGGATTTACATCGGCTATGCTGGCAATATGATTCTCTTCACTTATGTAATGGATCATTTATTAATAAGGTTGACATTTTTAAATGCAGAACAGCGTTAAACGCTAAATGATCCTGACTCATTAATAAACCTGCTGGAGAAAAAGTATTTTTGAAAACAACCAGCTGTGGTGGTTTTTATAAACACCTGGAAAGGTTGTTTGACTGTTTGACCATCAACATTTCAAGCCACAAACGTGCAGCACCAATATGTTAAACAGACAGACGCACTCAAGGTCGTTTGAAAAGTCAAAAGGAGGTGAAAATCACCCTGGAGGTCCTAACAGAGCGTTAACAAAGCAGAGAAAAGGCTACATTTACTCAGATACCCATGAACATCTGGACAGAGCCTCAGGCCGCACCGGTACATCAGCCCTACATCATATGTTGCTCTTTTTGATTGGTATCAGAATATTGACCCAGAACAAATACCAATATCAATATCCAACGGTTGTGCCATAGTAATTTTGCACAAGCGAAATGTTCGTAGTGTGAAGAGTTCCTGAAAGGCTGTTGATCTGTGCATCTATCACCCACACTTTAAAATCAGTATCAGTACATCATCACTCAAGAGCTTTTAGCTATTACAGGATATTTTAATACCAGGTGAAGTCGGCCTCTTAGTTTGAACGAGCTGTGTGTCGTGACATTTGGATTTCGCGGTCACAGTGGACTTTCGAGTCACCCGCCCAGCTGGCCTTCGCGGCTGTTGCCGTGATTCTTTGCACTTCAGCCCCGCGCTGTGTTAGATTGAGGCTGGCACCCTTCCTTCGCTCCCTAACCATCTTGTGTTTCTAACCGCCTGAGTGTCAAAATAACCGCAGGGCATCAGAGGACGTTCTTTCGCCTCCTACATCCCACGTTAACAAGATCAATTAAGACTGCCACGTTAGATTAACACACACAAGGAAACAACACAATTAACAAATCTAACTCGATCAGGAGGCGTAAACAGGGGAGAATACGCAAACCGTAGCAGTGACTGCGCAAAAACACAACCGGCTTCATCACGCTGACCTTAAATCCCTTTCATCGCACATTCCTCTTAACTGTTCCTCTCGCTGTCTCGATATCCCCGAAAGGTTGCTCGCCACAGACAGGAATTCCTGACTTTCAAAACACATGGAAGCTCAATGTGCCACTCTTGCTTGCATTTCTGTCATGCGGGTGAGAAATGGTGGCTGCCTTTCTGGTAACAGCTAAAAGCTAAATCCTCTACCTATTCATAGATGTCAGAGTCACATTTGGACCTTTGGTGAGAGACAGCTGCAAATACACAACAGGACAGACAAGCAGAGCCATTTTATGCTAAATATGTAGACACACATACGACTGGCGTTTGCCTGGAATGAGAGTTTTACTTTTATTATCGTTTCCTTATTTTTCACAGATCTTCCTTTTACACTGATATTCTGTCAGGCTGACTTTATTACAATTATTTCTGCACAAACATTTTCACCACTATAGATCGTCTATGAAATGTAAATGGACACAAACATGTTGTTTCTGAGACGCCGTGAGTCCATCCGAAAGACCGACGGTGTTTTCAGTTTCCTCTGAAAACACCGTCTCCGTGCAGACCACCAACCACTCAATGAAAACAAACACTGTTTTCTGACTGCGTTCCATCTAATGTGAGACTCCAGCCCAGCATTCTCACAGTGGGCCCATCACACCGAGGTAATTATATGAAAGAGGAGAAAAACAGAGCGAGGCGGACTGAACAGTTTTATTTGTTCTCACACTTCCAGCACACAACAGATTTGTTAATTTGCCTTTTTTTTATTCCCATCTCAAATCTTGTTTTTGTGTTTTGCATTTTTAGCCCTGTTTCCTGCTTTTACACTGCTGTGAAATAGTCTTGAGCCACGCCTCGTTTCCTTATATTTAGCTTCTTTCATTCCTACGTTTGTCTTGAGCAATAGATTTCTAAATATCTTTCAAAGTTTTCCTCCGTCCTCTGGCTGGTTTTTAACAAATTTTCACTCATTAGCGAGGTTTCAGTGGAAAGGCGGCTGTCATGAAGCCATTCTTAAGGAAAGGAAACAAGAAGAAAGGGCAAAGCTTTGCTAAATTACAGAAGAACTGGACTGAAAATCAGGATTTCAGCCAGTGGTGTTGGGATCTTGTCAAAAATGTATGGAATTATCAACGCAGAAAGTACCAGATGGGATTATATGGTGGAAATTTTGATCCACCATGCAATGCCATCTGGCAGGTGTTTAATTGGGAAGGCTTCAGCATGACAATGATCCCAAACACGTTGGCAGTGCAGTAACACACACCTGTACAGGACAAAGAAAGAAGAAACAAATAAACAAGCAGACAAACAGGAACACTATCACTCATGGATTGGCCTGGTGGCATCAACACAGCTCCAAGAAGAAGGGCGTTCATTTCAGGAGAAAAACAATGAATCCACTCAGGTTTTTAAAGCTTTGGACTCTTTGTGTAAACGAACATGGCTGAATTTTGGAGCTTGAAGAATGGTCAGTATGGAAGCTCAGAGGGGGCAGAGATCTGCCCCAGCCTACTTTTAACCCGTCTACAAACTAGGGCTGCCACAAACGATTATTTTGATAGTCGACTAGTCACCGATTATTTTTGCGATTAGTCGACTAATCAGATCATCATCCATTGGACGTAAAACGTACAGCTTATTGCACCAGCAGCATCTGCTCTTATATAACTATCATTAGCTTACAGCTTTAAGTGTTTAAGGTCTGTGCTAACTAAAAATAAAGACAAGATGATAGTTTATTCAATTTTAATGAAATTTGCAGATTGTTTCGGTGAAGTTTAATAAACTCCTTGCTATCTAAAATATAACAGGACACCGGAGTATATTCTCCAGCATCTCACACTTCTGATAATCAGCTGTCTGCTTGACGTTTATTCAGCTGTGTAAAAACTATAACTTTAATCTCAGCCAAACCGATTTACTCAGGAACAAATAAAATACTGAAAAAAGCCAAACAATAACATTTTAAGTTATCTAAGTGACTCATATATCATGTTTAACCTGAGTAGCGAAAGACGGCGGTGGGTTTGAAAACGATTTGCCGGGAGTCCGGTGTTCTCACGGCGTCTAGTGACCTCCCGGCTAGCTATCGAGCTAGTGGGTAACAGACGTCTCCGAAAACGTCGGAGCGCTTTTGAAAATATGTGGTGTCCTGATAAACTGAGCAGATATTTGAGGTTTACACAGCTACATTCTCGCCTGAAAATATGTTAAACGTTTATTTTGTGACCCAGAAAGAATAATAAGAGTAATATTAAAACTAACTAGCTGCCGCCATTGTTGGAAACTGAGCTGGGCTGCGCTATGAATTCTGGGACACAGCTTCTTCTTCTTCGGGGTTTAACGGCAGCTGGCATCCTTGTACATGCAGTGCTGCCATCTTCTGTTTCAGTCCGTTATTACACTCTTAAATCCTGCTACTTATTCCTGCGTCTTTTGGGATCTTACAAAGCTTCAAACGACGCGTCGACTATTAAATCAGTCGTCGACGATTTTGATAGTCGACTAATCGTGACTAGTCGACAAATCGTGGCAGCCCTACTACGAACACAGTTCACTGATGATGGAATGAGGCTACAATACCTGCTGTTAACATCAGATTACTGCTTATACTTAAAGAGTGATTGTGTTGTTGTAAGTCATGTGCATGCAGAGCACTTTGTGTCCACTCTCAGCAGATATGCAGACAATGCAGTTTCCATGACAAACAAAAGGAATAGCTGCTCTGAAGCAGACACGTCATACTAGTCAGGGCAGGCCTTGGACCGCCACATGTTTGCACATTTATCTTCATTTTTATTTGGTATTTAAGAATTTTGTGTTACATCGTTTGGAAAAAGATCTGTTACAGCTTAAAAATTATTTGAAAAGTTTTGTAATTTTACAAATTTTTAAGAAAAGTTTTGCACAGTAAATGTTCTTAAAATGGCATGCTATACTGCTCAGTCATTTTGCATGTATATACAGAAGAAAAGAATATATTGCGATGCATATCGTTACTGCACATGCTTCAAATTATACCACAATATATGGATTTTAGGCCATATCGCTCAGCCCTAGTTTGATCGTCTCGAAGAATTGTGCAAAACTGTGCAAAAAGAAGTTCCTGTTTGAACAGTGAACCATGTAAACCTTTTACCAAAAGGCTGAGAGAAAACTTCTGTAACATAGTTGACAACAACTTTCCCAACCTTGATAAGAAAAAGCACATCTTCATTCAAATGGGAAGAAGCTGAGTGTAAGTTGGAAAACTGAGTAGGGATAAAGCCGGGATTGTGCAGGAAAGAGAGGGACAGATGCAAAACTATGAAAACTGCCAGCAGACAGAAAAAAGCAGCTTGTTAGCCCTGATGTGCTCGTGGTCCTGAAAGAGTTGGTGTGTGCCACAGACACTGGCACTGGCTTCAGCTCCTCTTTAATCCTCATTTCCTCCTTTCTGCATAAATCATTTAAAACAGGAGAACAGCGAAAACAAAGAGAGCTAAAGGGAGGGAGATGATTATAAAAAGGTGGATCAAGGCAAACTGGGATGGAGGAGGGATGAAGGAAAAAGTGAAGGGGAAGGGTCCTGAAATTTAGCAGTCTCAAAGAGCAGAGTGCACAATCAGCTCTCCATCCCAGGACAATAAATACGAACGCAAACCGATGACCTCGGGTTTAAGGAGAAGAGGAAAGCGATTGGGGGGGGTTAAAGAGGAAAAATATAACGTGACACTATCCGGCCCGAGTGCACGATGTGAGAGAATCAAAGGCACCTTTGAGGAGCCAGAAGACGACAGCGAAAGTGCTGGAAGAGTGGTGTCCATGATTACAAGAAATGGAGAAACCTTTGAGTCTGCGCTCATGAAAGCCCACCCCGGGCCTCTTCTCAAAACCCCTGCTACACTAACAGTGATGACACAGAAAGAGGAGAAGAGGAAGAGAGCCACTAATGATGGAGGGGTCCAGATACTACAGAAGCAGCACACTTTCCAATTCATTTTAATCACTATTCAAAATCATTAGCACAAATGTGCAGGCACTCGTGTTCATTGGACCGTGAGCTGAGAGACAGACAGAGAGGGGTAGAAGACCAATTATACCTCAGCGTGTGAGCCGGGCTTTGAGGTCTTCGAGCAAGACAGTCCAAGACTCGATGGAATAAAAAAAGGAAGTTAGGACATTAGATTGTCCTGAAAAAAATCAACAATGTGATAAAAGGAAAACTGTGGAAAAAAGGCAGCCAAACAGATTACATGTTCCCTCTATCTAGAAATTTCCATTTCCTCATATCTGGTGACAAAAGCATGAAGTCAGTCAGGCAACAGACCCAAACAACAACACCGACACTAGACAGGACTCGCTGTTCAAGAACAAGCAGAGGTTTAAGCTCCGTTTCACATCTACGAGCCATCGATGGAAAAAATAAATAAATAACAACCATAATAATAATAATAATAATAATAATCCTCATTTTTATACGTAGAAATGTGTGCTTGTAATGCTGTTACAAACCTCCACCCTCTTACTGGTGGAGCGAGGACAGAAAAATAATATTTAAAAAAGGAAATTAAGACAAAGAACTGCGCGTTGGTCCACCGAGACGCTACAAAGGCCGGCGATCCATAATGTGGCTTGCTGACTATTTATAGTCACGCTTTACATTTTTCACCTTCAGATTTTTATAGCCTCATGATTATTTCACTGCAGAAGTAAACAGCACAGCACGGTTAGCCGCACTTCATGTGAGGCCTAATCTGATTTATTTCCCCACAATCCAGCGCTCTGCTTTACACGTACAATCTACCTACTGCAGCCTCTACATAACACACTTTCATCCCACCTCCATGACCCAGTAATCCCATTAACGACGCGGGACTCTCCTCTGTCTTCCTGTTTGTTTGTGCGTCTCCCCGCGCACGCACACCTGTGCGTTTGTATACCCGCGCATCTCGTTTTCATTTTCCACCACTGGCTAAAGATGTTCACCATTGAGGAAAGAGCTCAAGCACAAGCAGGTGTCAGCCACTCTCCTCCTCTTTATCCATGTCCCTTGCTCTTCTCCTCCTCCCCACCTCCTCCCCTTCGTGCTCCGTCGCTCCTGTTGTGCTTTGGACACGAGTTGGCACGCGGCTAAAAGCCCAGGCCACCTCTCTGCTCCATTGTCCTACCCACTCTACAGCGGTACTGACGGCGAGGGACCCTTTGTTGCCAGTCTGTCACTTCAGCAGGTGCCTTACAGTAAGAGGCAGGAGGCAGCCAGCCATCCAGCCTGCACGGCTTCGTTAGCACAGAGCACCGTTTGATGTGCTCATTTCATCAGCCGGAGACGGCAGCCGAGGAGGATGCTAATAATCACTTGAAAAACAAATACATTCCACTCAGGCTTGTAAAAGATAAACTCCAATTTCAATGATAAAAGGAGAATGACAGACATTCATGCTACCAACAGAAAAAGAAACTGCCCCCCCCATGCTAAAGTAAAACCAATTCGTACTGTCAATCACTGAGAATAAACAAGGTATATTGACAAATTGCTGACTGTGTAAAGAAAGACAAAACCGTGTGGGCAAAGTATGCAAAAACAGAGCTGCATTTAAGACAGCTGTGTGATCCCTCAGAACCAGCTCAGTGTGTCAGGGAGCAGGCTGTGTGAAGGAGAGAACCCCCCAGGCGTTCAGCACAGGGGACCCTGGGGGTTTAGGCGCACGCTCACTACATTCACAGCCTTTCAAAACGCTGCACCACCATCACACCTCAGTTAAAATCACTTAGAAACTGAATGCATAACGTGTGAAAGGAAATCAAGAGATTTCCTTTAGACTGGTTTGTCTATCTTCAAGCGACGCCGAAGACTGCGTTTCCCCTCGTATCACTGCATCAAGAACGGTCTAATTATGGGTATATTTCCAAGTGTGACTGGTAAACAGTTGGAGAATTATAACTTTTTGAGTGCCGTTTAAAGTTAAAAACACTCACGTAGCCGATCGGAGCCAATAGAAATGGTTATCCGTTTGAGAGCACGCATATTTTAGAACGCGGCTCTTTACCACCAGGAAGTTACGCCGTGTTTTTTTAACGTCGCCTCGACTGCTGAGTTACTGTGTGACTCTGGATCTGAACTAAAATGCAAAAGTCTCACAGAGTGACCAGAGGAAAGTAAAATGACCGTGTTTCCTCAAAGGAGTCAGAAATAAATGTCTAAATAAAATGTCTTACAGTTTAGTTTCCATTCGTGTGATTCAAACAGTAGGTTAACATGTGACTTGGGTCACCGCAGGGGGCGGGGCTGTGCACGTATCAAAACTTATGTAACACAACATCAAGATTTGTTTTTATAAGCGACACCGACTAATCTGAATACCCATTAACTTTTTAAATTTGCATATCAAGCCTGACTCCATAATCTCAGAGATCTCACATGTATATTATTAGAAATGCAAAAAGCATTTAATCCATGAAACAATGGATGGAGGACAGATTTGTTTTTGTCGCCGTTACTGTTTTTAAAAGCACACCCTCACTTCATGTGCACCAAAATATCCACACCCAGAGTTGCAGACCGCAGTAAGGTGAAGATCCCAAGGCTTTAGGCTGCATTAGTCCCTTGTGGCAACAACTCCTGGTCTTTCACAATGAAGAACAGAGCATTGCGCAGCCGAGCAGAGCTTCCTGCCCTCCAGGACCAACGAGGGCTTTGTTTGTTAGCCATGTCACTGACTGACCACCAAATTAGCTGCATCACCTCTGGCACCAGGATATTGGATGCGACATTCTGTTCCACGGGGCTGTGGCTGTGTTTGTCTGCGAGACCACGGGGCCAACATTAAAAAAATAAAGAAATGAAAACACAACGGGGGCAAATGAGGGACTTTCACATTTAAAAAAATAAAAATTAAACAAGGGAATACCGTGCTAACTACTGCTATGTGCTAAATAAGAATCGATGGGACCAATTACTCAGGATTATGTGTTTATCAGTTCCTTTTAGTGCAGCCTGCATTAACAAATAAAACTCACGCCAATGGAAACTGTGCACAACTTTATCAGATAAAGGCATTTTCTCCTCCTTTGTTAAACAGCTTAAACCCTGCTTAGGCCCATCTCATTTGTTTTTTGAGTCGAAGATGATCACAATCAATAGAACTGGCAAATATACTGGTTTTAATAAAATACCAGTATCTAGCTTTGACAGAGTCGAGTGTTCCTCGCTGTGTTTCCTTTGGCCGAAGCTCTTAATCAAGCACAACACGAGAAACAGCAACGTAATAAAAAGCTTCTTTCAGGCAGCGGGAGTAGACGTGGACGGTTAATCACGCTTTATGTTCATTACACTTTCAACTTCTAGCAATTACAATAAAACAGCTGAAACAGTCCTATCCCTTAATCCATTTTACAAAGATGCAGTTCGGTTCAGCATCAGTGAGCAGCGGCCCTAAATCATATTTAACGTGTCTGAGCAGCCATGTGACCAAATAATAAAATGATTTTTACCTTTTAGTCTGCCACTGTCTGGTTCTTAGATGACAAGCCACGACTCTCTGTGAGCTGGAGATGGGGGCTGTCATCGTTTTCCTAAGAACTAAACTTTAGCAGAAAACATCTGGAGTCCACTTTGCCCATCATACAAAAACCAGCAGCCTCTCTTATTCCCTCAACGCAGGCTTTTTCCCTTTCACTTGCATAGTTTGATGCAGTTACCCTGTGTAAGCAAAGAAGTTTGTCTAAGAGGAAATGACAAGCACAAGATGTCCAAATCATTAGTAATGTGAGAGGAGCAGTTCCCAGGCATGTCTCATTACATAGCTGACTGCTAAGAGCTCATGTTTGGGACTTTTCTGGGCCCAGGCCTTCTTCCATGCTCTGCACCAGCATCTGTTCTCCACAGTTTGTAATGGAAACATCTAAGACCCTGAACCCACAACAACCTTTACTCAATCCTGGCGCTCGATGAGGAAAGAAAGAGACACACAAACAAACTGTGGTTCACTCAACACATTAATGTCATAAACGTAATCTCGTGCAAACAGACGCAGAAAAAAAAAGAGAATATGAAGCTGGAAGCCTACACCGAGCACGCAGTAACAGTGGGCCCAAGGAAACACGGCTCCACAAAAATCAAGCTTTGGTCTGGCTGCGGTTCAGCCCGCTGTGGCTTCTGCGGTGGCTTCTGCAATCTTTAACCAGATCCAGAGCGCTGCTCCTCAATCAGAGGTCAAATACTGCTCTGTTGCTTCACCGGCATGTGAGTGCTTTGTTATCAAGCTGCCAGGGAGGGCGACTCTTTAAGCTGAAGCTGCTTCTACCAGCGCAACAGATTCTGAATATGACGATTGTAGACTGTGAGATGATTAAAAATGGGGCTGCAGTTAGAAAACCAGGTTTAACTCGGTCGCAGCCGTGTCAACAAGTTGGCACAGAAAATAAATCAAACTATATAAAAGCAGCACCACATTTCTGCCCAGGTATATCTCAAAATAAAATACGTCCCGGGGCTAGCGATATCTCCGGTCGGGCGACCAAAATCTATCTCATCCCTGCCCCTCGGGCCACCATATAGCCCGACGGGCGGGGCTGAGATAGATTTTGGTCGCCCGACCGGAGATATCGCTAGCCCCGGGACGTCGGGCTAGCGATTTTGCGAGCCCTGTTTCATTTCTCTCCTCACAACTTCTCCATTACATGCAAGTATTTCAGGGAAGACATGTATGTTCTGTCCTTTTTTTAATGCAGCAATGCAATCAAGTAAAACAAGCCTGGTAACGCCATTTGTCCCACGTTGTGAGCAGGCTGCAGTACACCGACTGTAGTCGGCAAAAACTCCCAATTTTGGTCCCGATATCATATAAAAACATAAACTTGCACATGAGAATAAAACATGCACAGAAGCATAACTACACACACAAACATTTCAATGTTTATTTTTATTCCTCAGGCACTCGTCCTGCTTTGCATGAGCGCATTACCTGGCACGCCGACAGAGCATCGCTGTATGTGAGTATGTGTAAGGATCTGACGATCGGAGAATACCGTTACCCCTAAGCGGTCGCACCTCTCTCCGTTCTCGCCCTCCTCCCTTATGCCTCCTCTCTAGTCTGTGCCTGAAGGGATTTCCCTTTTCAGTTCATGAGAGATGTCAGACCTGTTCCACCATCCCTCACACGGAGGCTGGACTGTGCCCTATATTTACCCAGCATCTGTAAAACTCCACAAATCAGCCTCATTTCTAGAAATCAAAGCCAAGCGGAGCTTAACAGAATGACAGCTGAATCAAAATGCCCTCGACTCATCTTCATGCAACAAATGTATCCGATTACTTTTCACACCGAGCGTCACACGCAGGAGTTATGAACTGTTGCACACGATACCACTGTGTGGAGATTAAATTAGGAATTCCTGTTGTTGTGTTTCATTTATAAGAATTGTTTGGGATTCCACTCAACATTAATTACTAGCCAGTAGAGCTGTGTCCCATCACACTGCAACATAAATATATGTAATGTGATCTTTAACATTTCTAAAACTGAGCGCATGTGCGTATTCTGGGATTATTTGATGAGCATCACCTCGTGGTCCTGTCCAGGATGACAGTTACACAAAGGCTGACAAAGGTCACTTTATTCTAACATTTCAAATTATTATCAAATTTACTGTGAGTGCTTTCATTCATGTATGTTAACTGCACAAACACAACCACAGGCACACAGCTCCAGGTCTGGAGGTCTTTCAGACATCACTCTGGTCACTTTAACATTAGATTGGAACAGGATCTTGAGCTTTATTGTGAAAGGTTTATGCGGATGCTTTTACCGTCGTTGTTGCTAACGACAACGCATAAAAACAGGCGCTTGTCCGTCCGTAGTGTGGTGATATTAAATATAAGAGAAAGAGAGAACTTTAATGAATTAATATAACCGCTACAGTGACCATCAAAACCATAAAAAAATATTGCCATAAACAGTTTATTTTACGACACCACGAAACAAACGATAGCGTAAAATGAAACGATAGATGTTTTTTTATATCGTCATCCGATACATATCGTTATATCGAACAGCCCTACTATAAGGCGCACTGAAAATCCTTTAATTTTCTCAAAAATCGACAGTGTGCCTTATGTATGAATTCTGGTTGTGCTTACTGACCTCGACCCGGATGAACGCTAACTTTTTTCCACTCGATAAAAGTTAACGTGAGGGTTCCTGATGGTTAGAGACAAATGCAATCGCATGGCAGGATGCTGTAAACGGACCAAACTTCAGTCAGGAGAACAACTGAGATAATCCATCCACAATACGAGGTTTGCTTAATGCACCTTATGGTCCGAAAAATACAGTACATAAAAGATGGGTGCGACATCTGGGCTGCTAATGCAATCAAGCTTTGTTAGCAAGCTAAAAGTATAAATTGCGTAGGTGTTTAGCAGACCTGGCACAATCTTTCACTCTTTTGCATGTAGTATATCTGATACTTTACCAAAGTCAGGTTTATTTATACCAGAATAGAGTTGACAATATTCCGGAAATGAAAATGTCAGTTACCGATATTTGCATAGAAAGACTGAAGCAAAAGGGGAAAAAAAGGGAAGATGGAAAGAGAGAAGATCCCCAACAGGGGTTGAAAGCAGCTAAATCAGATAGGTCTTTCCTGCCTCTTTCTTTCACACATTACAATATTAATATTAATGAGACTTCCTGTTTTTCCCACCTGTTTTTTTTCCTCCCTCAGATGATTTGAACATAAAAAAACTTAAAAAGCGCAAATTCCAGGAGTTGCGTATCACAGTTTGACCTGGAGCCACACAGCAGACACCAACCATGACAGACTCGCTGTTCAAAGCACGCGGGAGCTGCTTTCATCAGGGTATCCTGGTGGGGTTTTTTTACAGTTTGACACCACCAGCCCATGCCATCTGCCTTTTTCTAAAATCACAACTTCAAGATGAGCTTTCTGCTTGTGTGTTGTTTTAAGGTGGGCTTCACAACCAAGGCCCAGCGTCACGCAAGCTTTTCCTGCTATGCTGCTTGCTGGCTGCTGTTTACAGCCAAGCCTCGCAGTGTGGTGCAATGTTAAATATTCACTGTTAAACTGTCAAGCCAGAACTGCTTGGGAACCCAGCCAAGCACTCACAGTTCAGCAGCATCGGATTCTCCTCTTCTTCAAACATAACCAAACCAAATCAATCACTCTGTTTGCAGCCAAACCAAAAATCAGATCACGTTACCTCCCTCCTCCTGCCACACGCCTACTTCCTGATAGCCTCGGCCTACAGGGACCACTTTATTCAGCCTTTTCCTTCATTTATAAGTAAACACATATTCTTTATCATAAATACTAAACACACTTACATTAACACTCATCATTTGTACTTTAAAGACCCCGTACTCTAGGCCTGAGTAAGCCTCTGCTGTCTCCCAACGTCTGCCATCAGACATCTGTAAAATATTTTATTTGATGCCCCAATACCACACTGGCAAAGGTCTCTCATCCTTGACTTGGCAGGACTTCTGACAGAGCCAGCCGGCAGTGCCACGCAGGCCTAACTCCTGCTGCTACAGCTTCCTGCTGCTCTGGGGGAGTCAGGCTGCGAGCCTCCCAGACTGTGGGCCAGGCAGGGCAGGAAGGAGGAGACTGAGGCGAGGCCCCAGGTAGAAAGGACTCCCAGGAGAGGTAAAGCAAGAACAAGAGGACAGAGTTGAGACATTTCCAGTTAAGATGTGTAGCACTGCTGGCTTAATCAGTCTGTTAAAGTGACAACATCCTGACAGAGGTTAGCTTTACTCAGACATGCCTGCTTTTTGAGGGGAAGATAAACAGATAGGACTTGTTGTGGTTTAACAACCCTCATGAAGTGAAACCACCATGCTTTTAAATGTGTACTTCTCGCCGTCATTAAGAGCAGGGTCTCTGTGTGTGCATGCACTCAGACCGATCATGTCTGAATGTGCGCCTGAGTCGATTGTCTGCACCAAGTCAGACCCGCTAACATTTGTCAACATGGCACACGTCTGACAGCACGCCGCTACACAGGGGCACGTCAAACATTGTAACTTTGTATCTTTCCTGTATCTCGAGTTGCTCAACAAACTCAAAGCCACAGTTGTTTTGAAGCATGCCATAAAAACTCTTTGAGCAAGAAAATAAACTGTCTTGGCGCAAAAACTCACTTCCAGACTTTGTCTCACGGTCTCACTCTTATGGGCTCAAAATGTGGTCATAAATATTTTGTACTTGTAAAAAAGATTTGTATGTGTAAAAAAGATTTGTGTGTGGACTTAGAAAAAAAAACCCTGCAAGTTACAAGTACGGATTTTGACCCTATTTTTCTTCCTTTCATCTGATTGGTCAATGTCATGTCAATCACAAATGTAACAATCCAATCAGAGAACAGATGGGTTTGGCTGTCGGAGGGGCGCTTTTTTGAACTGCAGGTCCTTGAAGGGTGATACAGTTTGAAGCTGGAGGATCGCTA